ATGCTGCTGATCCTGAATCTGAAGTACTTCTTGCCAGCGATGAAGAGCCTCGTCATGGGCCACTTGGCTTTCGAGTGGGGGGCGCTTGGTTCAAGTTGTTGCCCTTTTGTTTGGCTCAGGTCTCTTTTATCATTTTACCTTTTGCTTAGGCCGAGTTCCAACATGGAGGACGACTGCGGCTCAGATTCGGTGCTGCAGGCCTCTGATGCCGAGAGCAACAGAAATGAGGAGCCCACGGATCGGCCCTTTTTGAAGCTGAACCATGTTGGGGCTCCTCGTCGGTGACATTGCCAGGCTTAGATTGTTGTCGTGCCAATTTGGTTGGGCACTTTAGGTGCACAACATCCTGGCCGCCTACATGGATGTTTCTCAAGTCAGGCAGCCCTTCAAGAGTACTTGCGAAAACATCCTGGCCCAGAAAAACCAGCACGTTGTTACGTGCGGCTCGATTTGCAGCGGGCTTGGGGTGGCGGAAATGGTCCTGGAGAACTTAAACTATCTCTTGACCGATTTGGTTGGAGACACGGGTTCGCTGAAGGCCTGTTTGTCCTTGTTTCGATTGGCTTGTTTTTGGCCCAACACGCATACGCCCCCCTGCCAGTTCGAGACCAAGTTCATGTGCGAACTCGAGCCGTGGAAAGCCAAGTGGGCAGAAAAGGCCTTCAAGCCAAATTTCTTCTTCAAAGACATGCGGGATTTGCACCGGGGCATCGCTGAAGACCGCATCACGGGAGAATTCCAAATTGTACCGAAGGCCTGGAAACATTAATTTGGAAGCATGAAATCAAGCCCTTTGCCCGTTCCCCTCAGGTGACCCTGCTGACCATCGGCTTCCCTTGCACCTCGATAAGCTCGCAGAACTCAGAGGTGAAGAGCTTCCTGGACGAAAGCTCGCCCACTGGAATGGGGTTCCGGGCCCTATGCAATTACATAGACTATTGCGGAAGTGATTTGGAAATCATTCTGACAGAAAACGTTCGCAACCTTACGCACTCCCGCAAGCTCTTCGATGGTGAATGTCCAATTCTCCTACAAAACCGGGCCATGGACTCGCGGGGTTTTGCCCCTGCTCACATCTTGCTGAGCACCTCAGAATACGGGGTGCCACAATCTCGCCAGCGCTGCTGGGGGATCTACCTACGCAAAACGAGCGTGAAGCCGAACATGCCCTCCCCCGATCGGCTTTTTCACAACCTTCAGTTCCAACCCATGGATTGCAGCAAAGTCTTTTTGGATGACAACTTGGCCCTGCTTCGCGAAGAGAAGTCCTCGTCTAGATCAAGCAAGAGGGGGTCTAAATGGAAGAAAGACTTCAAAAAGGTTGCAAAGCAGACTGGCAAGGCCCTGTGCTGTTTCACTTGTCAAAACCTGCTCTTGCGCCAGCAGCTTCTTCCCCAACCTTGCCCCTTGCAGGACGCAGTCATGAAGAACAAGCAGATCTTGGAGGGCAAAGGTATCCCGATCACCGCGCGGGAAATTAGCATACTCGCTGTCGCTACTACCAAGCTGCAGCAAATGGGGCTCAATCCATACAAGGATAAGTTCATCATCCAAGTCGTTCTGGTCTTAGAGGTGGTCGCTTGCAAATTCCTGTGTGCCAATGTTGCCGATTCACTCGTTTCCGCTTCCAACCCAAGGACCAAAACTACAATCGCAGCACCTTCCTCAAGTCGAACCCTGGATGGTGCCCCTGCCTCATTCCAAATGGGCGATACGTGGTGTCCCAGCGCTGGACCCTTCTTGGTGGGAAGGACTGGCAACCTTTTGTTTTGCAACCCTGTCCATTCCCAGCGTCAGGAGAAACTGCGCCTGCAGGGCATCGGCCCGGAGGATGTTCTCCGGTTTGAGCTGGACACCTTGAATGACGGCCAGCAGAGCAAGTTACGCGCGGCGCCCCCAGTTGCTGACGGCTTCGTGACACGAACTTTGCAACATCCTCTTTTGTTCGTTCGCACTGAGGTTCAGTTCTTGTATCTGTGCGGCAGCAGTTTTGACTGCTGTGGCATGCTGGAAGCCTACTGTCTGATCATCCTGACGCATGAAGAAATCGTTAATTAGGCTGTTTTGCAAAAGGGATCTTTCCAATTTGGCAAGTTGCCGGTGAAGGGGAAAAGCTTGCGACCCGTCCATGTTGTGTGCGGTGCAGTGCCTGCTTGCTTTCCCGATGTTCTGAGTCTGAATCATTGAATCTTGAGATTTTGGATCAAGGGTTCAGAGAAAGCGCCATGCCCCCAAAGAAGAAAGTGAAAAGCTCCCAGGCGAAAGCAATCGCATCGGGAGTCTCCAGCCGGGCGGTGTGCAACACTTTGGAGGATGTTTGCCCTTTGATGCGGGCTGCGGCGGATTGCGTTGAAAGCATGCACTGCTTGAGGCACTCTGGGCCAACTTTGCCACCTGATGCAGCCCTTGCCGGAGTTGCCTTTGGACCGTGAGAAAAATCTCTACCCTTGGCCATGCCTCACAGGTGGGACACTAAAAGACATAGCTCAACGTGCTTGGCTCCCTGATGCCAAAGATCAACTTTTGGAAGAGTCCTGGGCGATGGTAAAAGCAGCAGGTCTCTTGGATGATGATTCCTCAACAGCTACGCTAAAAGAGAAGTTCTGCAGTTTAGAGGCTCGGCCCTTCCAAAAACCCTTCTGTTTATGCGGTGTTTCACTTTTCCCTGCCAGGTGTGGCCCCCGCAGCCAGGCTCGACCTTTGACACGTCGATTCTCAGCTGGAGCTTCCAGAACCAGAGCTTTTGGAGGGGCAACCATGTGGCTATGAGTGAAATCATCAGCATCGCGAAAGCTATCTCACTCACCCGTTTTCGGGAGGCTTGGCAGGATACCAAAAAACACCGCACGCCCAATTCCTCGGCGAAACTTTTGGGCGGGCATACGCCGGAGTTTGGCTGAGGACCTCGCAGAGGTCCTCGGCGAAACCCCCCCCCCCCCCGGGGTCCAGAAAGGGTTTTCTTCTAGAAAATGTTTGTGTGTAACATCTTACAGCTTGTTTTGGGGGGTGGGGGGGGGGGGGTTTGGCTGAGGACCTCGCAGAGGTCCTCGGCGAAAACCTGGTGCGAACAGAATTGAGTTTGGCTGAGTTTTTGGGCTCCCGGCAAAACCCTTGTGATCTTAATTTCTCAACTTGCAAGTTTCTGGACCTTTTCATTTTGAAAGGTGTGCAGATCCCTCCTGAAACCAGGCAGCACCGACCATTGGGTTCCTTTTTGGAAACTGGCACAAGGGCCCCGACATATTCCACCCTGATCCTGCTTCCTTTCTATCGTACCGTAGTCTTTTGTGGAGGTGGGGGAATTAACGAGAAACTTGTGCAATTTCCAGCAACCCTGCGCCAGGGAGAAACCATCTCCCTGCGGCTCCCGGCAAGCGGCGAAGTGGATGCCACCTGCGATGAGGACAACATCGCGCTGGGATCGCTTTTGTTTGCGGATGGGTCTCAAAAAGCCTTGGCAGGCTTTTCTGTATGGTTGGCCCTGCTTATGACATGGAAACGCCACGAGGCATTCATTCAAGACCCTCACGTTGTTCAGCTCATTTCTTCTCTACTGGTTGTGAAGACCACCTTCAAAGCCACTGAGTCGATCACAAGCCCCCTGGACAACACCATCTCAAAGATTGTGAAGCAGAATGCTGATTCTCGAGTCCAACCAGTCTCATCCCTGGCATGGGCTTCCATCTTGAGTGCTATGCGAGATCACTCAGGCCAGTCTGTGAAGTTTGATGCGGCTCTTGAGGCCTACAACTCTCACCCAGAAGTGCGAGCCCACTCGGACAAGTCTGTCGATGGAGGTGCTGGGGCAATCTCCTTGGACAACCGGAGGAAGGCTGCGGTGAAGAACTGGCTTGAGAGAACAACACCCTCAGCTTTCAAAGTGGTTGAGTCGTCAACCCACGACTTGCCGTTTGCGCTGGGGCCATATGGGGAAACAATGGCCTCGCTAGGCTTCATGTTTGTGGGAAGCACGGTTTCCTTGTGCACAGCAGTTCCTAGCGCAGACCTTCAGCCCCTCGAGAACGAACCGCTCATCCATGTGGATTGGGGTTTGCCAATGTCACCCTTGGCCCAAACAGTGCTGTTCAAGAAGGTGAAGGCCGTCTTTGACAGGGAGACAACCTTGGTGCCCGCCCAATCCAAGAAGCGTTACCGACTTTCTCAGGAAAACCTGCAAAGCATGCGGAATGTGGTGTGTCTTTGGGCACAATTCCAACCGCATCTTGAAACACGGGTCGCGCCCCCAGAAGCGGCCAAGTGGGAGCATGAAATGGCTTTCACAAGCCTGCGGGACCAAGACTTCAAGTTTGTTCTGGAAGCTCGGCCACCAACATTGGCGTTGTCAATGTTTCCAAGCTCCAGAGCGGTGGCTCAACAAAAGGCAGTGGAAAAGGAACAGCAAATTTGCCTGTCAGTTGAAAAGCAGCGCTTGGATGTTGTTTCTGCCCAGTGGTCATTCTTCAAAGCAGCGCTCGAGCGTGACCAACTTCAACTAGAGAAAGTCAAAGAGGTGCCGCGGAAAGTGGCGTCGCCACAATTGCCGAACAAGCAAAAGCTGGCCAGGCCAGGAGTTACACTTGCTTTTTTGGGGTTTGGGCCAAGCGGTGGAACTAGTTCATCAGCCTAGCCAATCCCGTGAGGCCGCTGTTTCCGGCTACGCGGACAAGTATCTCAGAGTGGCCTACGTTCCCCAGCCAGATTTGGCCACTGCAGAGATCAGTAGCATGAGGGACTCAGTTGTAACTCGCCTGCATTGAATACATCTTGGATGCGTCCCCAACTCAGGGAAAAATTAACCTAAAGGGCCAGCCCATTCGGTGCAAAACTTGCCTGCTTCAGGGTTTTCTTATGAAACAGTGCGGTTGGGGAAGTTTGGGGGACCAGTCAGGAAACAATGAAAAGTCATTTGCGCTCTCCCGGAGTTGTTGGTTTGAGGGTCAACCATGTGTTTTTGCATGGGCTCAAGGGGTTTTGCGGGGGACTCCACGTCTTGCCTGACTCAACGCCCTGCCTTCGCTGCGCCGATGAGCGCATCCTTGCAGCCACTTGTCTGGCAGCAGTCCTGCAGCGCAAGGGTTGAGGGCTAGCCCCCTGTCAAAAGAGTTTTGGGGTTGGCAGGGCAGGTTTTCGTTGCCCCAACAAGAAACGCTCTCCAGCTCAAAATCGCAAGGGATAGGCCATTTTTCTGTTACCCTCAAAACTGCTTAGGGGGTATTTCAGAGGGTTTCTTTTTTGGGGTGCCCTTTTTGGGGTGGTCTGACACGAAACCAAGGACCCTATCACACGTCTTTGCGCGGGGGGGGGGGTACAAAAAGGGATGAGGTCGGCCAACTTTTTTCATGTTAACCCACCTCATTTCCGGGGGGATTTAGCATCACAAGGGCCTTCTTGAGATATGTTTCTTTATCCCACCTTTTTTGGGCCACCCCTACTAGGACCCCTACAGAGCAATTATTTCAAAACGTCTACTGGCGGGATTTTGCATCGGAAGTGGCCACTCACATGTTCAACCCCCTACCCAACAAGGCAAGTCGTGTGTTAAACTTAGCGCCCAAGGCGAAACCAGACCATCAAGAAGGGCAAGGTGTTGAACAAGCTCAAGCTCAAACCATGCGGGCCAACAACACACGTGGTTGGTTCCTCACAGTCCCAGTCTGACGGGCTGCCTCTGGACATTGACTTCGTGGAAGAATGGAATGAGAGCACCCAAATGCAGGAGTGGACTGATGCTCAGCCACGGGATCTTGTGCGTGGCAATGCGGACACAGTTCCAGAGACACAGTTGGACCTGGACCCGCCTACCCCCCCTTTTTCTGAAAGTGACCATCTTGCATCAAGAGTGAGCGCTAGCTTCTCTGTTTGTTCGGAAAGCCAAATTCAAGAGAGGGTGACAACTCCACCCCGTCGTTTACGAAGGCTTGGCGCCTTTGACTTCGGCGCTTAGGCAACGTGAGGGGTCTGATCAAACAAGGGGCCGCGATCAGTGTGTTTAAAAAGAGCGTGACTTGGCAGAGCCCAAAAATGAACAGTTCTAAGCTGTGGTTTTGGTAAGATCTCCAGCCTAGGCAAAAGATTGCAATTGCACCGGGGATGACATCACATTCATTTCCATTGTGGACTTCAACTCTCCAGGGGCACGCGGAAAACAGAATGTGGATGTTCTCACCAAACGGGTGGCGGCCACCAACAGCATAGCGCCAGAGCGCAATTGCAGCCTTGTGCTTATGCCGGACCTCGCAAAGGACAGTTCCCTTCGGGGACTCTATGATGAGGAGAAGGAAATTCAGGAAGCATTCTTCAGCCTGAAACAGTTCTGTGATGCAAGATTCGTGGAGTTGCTTCTTGCTCAGATATTACTCTTTTTTTTTCTGGGGGGGAGCCCGGGAACCCTTCGCCGGAAAAGAAAGCAACACAAACCCCCTCCAACAAAACTCATCCAGGTTGACAACTCGAACCCAAGCTATTTTACTTTCAAGTTTGGGAACCCGCTTGCAATTGGCTTCCAGGTTCGATCGGCACACGAAGTCTGCGCAGAAATCCAACTCGCGGCGCTTCAGCACTGGTCGCATTGTGGTTGACCATGCCCACGCTGATGCCAACCCCTGGCTGCTATCATCGGAGCTCGCTGTGGCAGGCAGGTGCGTGGCGGCAAACGAGAGCGAGCGCGGGGCTCCTACGGTGATGCTCCCGAAAGGGCAGGAGCTACTCCTGCCGGAGGGCGCTTCGGCTGACAGCGATCTGCGACTATCGGAGAGGGTAAAGCCCAGCCCGGAGCAAAGTGCCGCGCAGAAAGGAGTCATGCGGTGCGAAAAGCTTCTCACGAGCCTGTTCAGGAACGTCACACAGGTCAAGGCACGGCCGGTGATCGTGGTCAATTTCACTGGGTATGTTGAGGAGTTTGGCGCAGCCGTCCTTCGGATGCACCAGTCACATTTGCGGGGTTCGTTCAACCAGTGACGTTCTAAGTATTGTTGGTGGAACATGTCCACGCGTAGCGTCTCCAGGTGTTGAACCTCCGGCAGAGGGGCGTGGTGGATGGAGCGGGCGACGCGTTCGACTTCCATCATCTCTACTACCTCAGCCTGCACCTCCTGGACAACAAGACCAGCGCGGACTTTGCTCAGGCCAGGGTGCTGTGCGAGTGCCTGGACTGTTGGCTGGCAAAGCGAATGGTCTACGCGGGCATTGCTTACAACGATGCGGAGGCAAGTTTGTCAGAGGCGGAGATGGCAGCCATACCAGGGTCAGAAGTGCTGCGGTCGGTGGACACCCTGAAGCTCAAGGTGACGATTCGCAAAGGCAGTGCCGTGGAGGTGCACCCGGATCAGATCAAGCAATGGCAGGCTCAGGGAGGCCCGCTTTCAGAGGAGTTTGAGCAGCTACTACAAAGGCACAACGCCACCTACAAAGACCTACTGGCGACATCCGGCGTCATCAAGGACGGCGCGCTGACTAGTGAGAGCCAGGACATCGTGCCAGTGGATGACGAGGCCAAGACTGACCCAGAACCTTCTGAAGCCGTGGTGACGTTTGAGTCCTTGGCAGAGCTCGAGGCCAAGGACCCCATCAAACATCGCTCTCAGTCTGAAGTTGGAGACGTGGAGCTGCTACGCGGAAACTCAGGGCAAACTTACTTGCTCGCCAAGAAAAACAAAACCCTGCCCCGCCACACCGTCATTGCTGGGTTCGGGACCGGAAAGTTCCTGGACTTGGCTTTGGTCACACATGTTTGCAGTTGGTAGTTTCCTTGCCCCTTAGCTCTATCTTTGAACATCATGGGTACTTTGAAATTTGATTTCTTACTTATTGGAAACCCAGGTTCATCCCTGCAGCTGTTGAAGAGGAGGGAGTGGCCTTTGACTACCCCAAGGGTGACAAGACTCTAATCCAGGTTGATCACTCTTCCATCTCGCCGGAAAACACGAACACCGAGGTGATGAGTGTTTACCGGTACTTGGTCCTTCTCGAAAGGTCCAAAAAGGTCACAAAGTATGTGATGAGCTATTCGGATATTAGCCGCCAGTCAGAGAACCAGACTGACGGCTTCAGTGTGAAGGTTGCCGCAGGCCACAAGTACAAGTGCTTGGTGGACAACAAGCCCCGCACGTGCAAAACATGGTTCGGGGATTCCGTTCAACAGGTGGCAAAGTCCAAGATCTTGACCAGTGTCTTCAGGTTTCGCTTCGAGCGAGTTAGTGCAGTCAGCAAGATTCAAAAACCTTACGTGATGTTGACGCAGAGTTTACCTTTGGAGGCTGGAAAGCCAATTCAGGCCTGGGTGTCTTGAAAGGCATGTTTAATGCACTTGACCTCCTAGTTAAAACAACGGCTCGGCACCCCCCGTTTTCTGTTACCTGCAAGGATGCATAGGGGTATTAAAAAAAATCCCATCTCTTTGCCGGGGATTTTGCAAGGGATAAGTTCTCGCTCGGCCCATCTTTTTTGGCTACCCCATATAGGAGACCTAGGGACGCTGTTGGGGGTATCAACTAAAAACTCTTTGTCAGCGGAGTTTAGTTTGTAGTGTGTTTCCGCCTGCCCCATTAGGTCTGACGAGTTCCTGGCCAATCTGAGAGGGGATTACTCACTCACGTACTCTTGCCTGCAGTGGAGCCCTTTGACCCTAATTGTTGACATCTTGGTTGCTTCACAAACTGGCCCCAAGTTTCCAAATGAAACACCAGCTGTTGGCGCGGTTAATTAATTGCTGGCCACTGGAGGCGGGTAGCGAGTGATGGCGGGGTCGCTGGGCCCAACGTGTACTCAAGCGGCCTGCCAGTAGTGTGCAGAGTCGCGAGGACACTGTCTTCATCGGACCTCGCTGTCCAACACCTGCTGAGCGTCTGCAGGCCGGGAATGCGGCTGACGGGATTGCGGCTGATGAGGGCGCTGGTGGGACGGAACGCGCAGCAAGCAGTGCGGATAGGGGGGGGAGGCCTACCAAAAGAGTGAGATCTAAGAAGCCGGCAGAGGCAGAGGCAGAGCCAGAAGTTGCGAAGCGCGGCAAGGCTGGCCAAAAGCTACTGCGAAAGAGTGGTGACTGGGAGGCCAGGGGAGGTTTGAGAATTGTTTGTGGTGCGCCCATTCAACGCAAACCTTGGCCCAACAACCCTTAACACCTTCAAGCCTTCCCTGAAGGTCTACGAAAGAACGCGTGGTGATGAGGGGGCTCACCCAGGTGGTAAGTACAAACTTTTTGTAAATCTGAAGTCCGATATTAGCTATTACAGCCAGAAGGCTGCGATAGGGGCTGGATACAAAGCCGATGATTAAACTCGCCTGGCCCGCGGAAAACACGGTCCTTTGCAGCACCAGCAGGCTGCCAGGTGTGCTCCATGTTGGTGTCCCGCAGCAGGGCAAAGGCAAAGGCAAGAGCAGCGGGCAGCAGGGAGAGTGGAAAGATTGTTTACTGGGGTTCCTGAACTAAGAGTGCTCTAGATCCTTGATTTGCCCTCGACATGTTGAAGAAGGGATTTCCCATTTCAACATTTGACGAGGTGAAAGGTTTAGACCCTGACATGTTGCATGAGAGTTGAGAGGCAAGCCATGACTCCTTTCGAACATATTGTTGACTTTCTGTTGCAACAGTTGCGTGAGATAAAAGCCTTGGTGTGGTTCAAATGATGAGGGTCGCGGAAAATCTTAGAGCATGCTGGCCCCAAACAGTAGTAACTCTTGCAAAGCCCGAGCCCTTCTGAACGTATGAAAGGAGGGGTGCAAAACACTTGGGCGCCCGAGCTGCGAGATAGGAAGCTAAGCATTGCACCCCGCAACATGGAAGAACAATCTAGATATGAAGGAGCAGTGGGCTCCAAATCAGAGTTGAGGGTCAAGGAAACCTTGCTTGTGGGCCCCCAGCAACGAAACAACCCACCCCATGAAACAACCAAGTGCCGTGAAAGTTCATTTTTTTCCTTCTGTCTTCGGGCCAGAAGCTGCTTCTTCTTGTTCGCCGCTCGCCCCTGAACGCGGCTTGTCAGCCGCCGCTTGCCTCACGTAACTTCGCTGCGGCGCCCGCCGCTCTTTTTTTGCGCTGGGTTTGTTGAGTTGCGCTGCCGCGTGTGGAAGCTGGCGCTTGGAAGCGGGTCCTGGGTGGGTGGGATTGAGATCAAAACTTTTGATGAGCTTTGCTTTAAAAAAATCTACGTCTTGAAATCTTTAAACCCTAAACCCTAAACCCTAAACCCTAAACCCTAAACCCTAAACCCTAAACCCTAAACCCTAAACCCTAAACAGGCGAGCATGCCTCTGGCCATATACATGGGCATGCGAGCCTTCGGGCTCGAGGTCAAGCCGAGACGCCAGTGCAAACCTGAGGGTCAAGCCTAGCAGGACAACCGCTGTGCGGCTCTGCAAGTGGCACGACGACCCACACCCTTTGGCGCAGCCAATATAGGATTACCCTAAAGCCTGCACCATTTGGCTACGGAGGTCGCTTTGTGCACTGCTGATAACTTTTGCATACGGGTAATAGCGGGGCCTGCCCCGGATGGGGGGGGGTACACGGCGGGCCGCTTTTTGCGCCGCTGATAACTTTTGCATACGGGTAATATGGGGACCTGCCCCGGCTGGGGGGGGGTGTACGCCAAGCACAAGGAGCCTTGTGGATCCCTTCTTGCGCTGTTGATAACTTTTGCATACGGGTAACACGGGGGACTTGCCCCAGCTGGCGGGAGCGCACGCCGAGCACAAGGACCTTTGTCGATCTCGCTTCTCGCGCTGTTGATTTCCTTGTTTCAGACGAAGCGGCGAAGCGTGCGCGCAGGTCACCCCCGCGCAAGCGCAGCGCCTGACACGCTCAGTTCTGCGGCTTGCTTGCGCGCTTGGCGCCTTGGCAACTCCACGCTTCGCAGCGTGACCGTAGGAAAAGGTTAGCGAAGCAACACCTTGCGGGCGCTGAGGATTCTGTAGACGCCGTTTACATGGCGCTTGCCGGCGCGGCCCACGCCCAGGCAAACAGACGGCGTCTACGCGGCGCCCTTCTGGGCGCTGAGGATTATGTAGACGCCGTCTACATGGTACTTGCCGCCGCAGCCCGCACCCAGGCCAGCGCATCGCGCAACGCGCTTGCGTGGAACCTGCGGCCTACGCAAGCTGGGCAACTCGAAAAAGGACTAGCGCTTCGCAGCGCGACCCATGCCTGCGCAGGCTAGACGTTTAGCGAGGCAAGCAGCTGGCAGCCAGGCAAACGCAGCTACGCGGCGCTTGGTCGTCCGCCCGCCTTGTGGACGCTGAGGATTATGTAGACGCCGTCTACATGGTACTTGCCGCCGCAGCCCGCACCCAGGCCAGCGCAGCGCGCAACGCTGGGCAACTCGAAAATCGCAGCGCGACCCATGCCTGCGCAGGCTAGAAGTTTAGCGAGGCAAGCAGCTGGCAGCCCAGCTGCTTCAGACGGCGCCGCGTTGGCTTGGAACCCGTTCAAGGGTTCCACCGCGAATGGACCCTAAACCCTAAAAGTCTTTACCTTGGGTGGCTGGGGCGGGCGAACTTGCTACGCGAGCGAGCGGCTTGGGGGATTTATCCCCGAGCGAGCAACCACATCTGCACACCCTAAACCCTAAACCCTAAACCCTAAACCCTAAACCCTAAACCCTAAACCCTAAACCTAAACCCAAAACCCTAAACCCTAAACCCTAAACCCTAAACCCTAAACCCTAAACCCTAAACCCTAAACCCTAAACCCTAAACCCTAAACCCTAAACCCTAAACCCTAAACCCTAAACCCTAAACCCTAAACCCTAAACCCTAAACCCTAAACATTGCGCGCCTCCTGGAGGCGCGCCCGCTCGCCTCGCTCCTGCCGCCAGCAAGCGGAGATGGGCTTGCCGCGCAAGCCCATCGAGCCAGGTACCGCCAGGCTGTCCCGGCATGCCCCAGGGGCACTGCCCTATAAGTAGGTATCCCTTAACCTCTTGGGCTTCCGGGAAGCCAGCTGGCCTTGATAAAATGGCCATTGGGCCGCTTTTGGCTAAAAATGGCTTGGCTCTTTGGCCGCTTCTGCCTCGATAAAAATGGCCACTGGGCCGCTTTTGGCTAAAAATGGCTTGGCCCGGCCGCTGATAAATTCTTTGTGCGGGATCATATGGAATTCGCCATCCGCGGCTCAAATCTAGGGGTCTGGCCATTTGGCTGTTTCCGCGCTGATAAAAATGGCCACTGGCTGGCCAGCGCTCTGAGGGTCCCTCTCTTGGGCTTCCGGTCTTGATAAAGCGGCCATTGGGCTGCTTTTGGCTAAAAATTGCTTGGCCCGGCTGCTGATAAATTCTTTGTGCGGGATCATATGGAATTTGCCATCCGTGGCTCAATCCTAGGGGGCTGGCCCCTTGGCTGCTTCCGCGTTGATAAACATGGCCATTGGCCGGCCAGCGCTCGGAAGGACCCTCTCTTGGGCTTCCGGTCTCGACAAAACGGCCGTTGGAGCTGGCCAGCGCTCTGAAGGACCCTCTTTTGGGCTCCCGGGAAGCGAGCTGGCCTTGATAAAGTGGCCATCGGGCCGCTTTTGGCTAAAAATTGCTTGGCCCGGCTGCTGATAAATTCTTTGTGCGGGATCATATGGAATTTGCCATCCGTGGCTCAATCCTAGGGGGCTGGCCCCTTGGCTGCTTCCGCGTTGATAAAAATGGCCATTGGCCGGCCAGCGCTCGGAAGGACCCTCTCTTGGGCTTCCGGTCTCGACGAAACGGCCGTTGGAGCTGGCCAGCGCTCTGAAGGACCCTCTCTTGGGCTTCCGGGAAGCCAGCTGGCCTTGATAAAGTGGCCATCGGGCCGCTTTTGGCTAAAAATTGCTTGGCCCGGCTGCTGATAAATTCTTTGTGTGGGATCATATGGAATTTGCCATCCGAGGCTCAATCCTAGGGGACTGGCCATTTGGCTGCTTCCGCGTTGATAAAAATAGCCATTGGCTGGCCAGCGCTCGGAAGGACCCTCTCTTGGGCTTCCGGTCTCGACGAAACGGCCATTGGAGCTAGCCAGCGCTCTGAAGGACCTTCTCTTAGGCTTCCGTATGGGACTGGCCATCCACGGCTCTAATCTAGGGGTCTGGCCATCTGCCTCGATAAAAAATGGCCATTGGGCCGCTCTTGGTTAAAAATGGCTTGGCCCGGCCGCTGGTAAATTCTTTGTGTGGGATCATATGGAATTCGCAATCCGCGGCTCAAATCTGGCCATTTGGCTGTTTCCGCGCAAATGGCCACTGGCTGGCCAGCGCTCTGAGGGTTCTCTCTTGGGCTTCCGGTCTTGATAAAACGGCCATTGGACCGCTTTTCGCTGAAAATGGCTTGGCCC